GAAAGAGGAGGAGGGTAGCCAACTGGAAAGCATTTTTGCTGTTGTAGAGTTGTTCTTAATTTTCTGGGTCTCTCTGAGGGTATTCCAGCAGATTCTGCTCTAGGTTTCAGAGAAATCCATGAAGCAGACAGAAACCAGAGACTCTTGAAAGTTGAGTTTCAGGTGATAGTTTATGAAAGAAAAGCAGAGCAGTAGTGGCATTATTCTGTTCGAAGCTGAAAGCCATTGATTTGAATCTATTATCTGTCTCCCAGTTGATTCTGGCCTTGTATAACGGAATGAAATGACATTAGTCAATTAGAGATTATGGATTTAATAGAATCCATAAAAATCATATTCCTCTTCATTTAGTGTTCAGAATGTTATATATTTTCTCTGGATAACAATCTTGATTCAGAATGCAGTAATTGTATCAATTAAGTGAGCTATTTGCTGTCAATCTTCTGTTTCTAGTGGGAATAACTGTCAAGAGAGAGGAGGGCCCGAAACCCTTTCCACTGACACATCACTGGTTCAGGTTAATCACGGTTTTGGTGTACCCATTGTCAAGGATATCAAGACCAAGCTGCATACATCAGGCATTATTGAGGCTCAGGGTCAGTTTCCAAAGCTGGGATTGGGAACATAGAGATTGAAATTTAATGTAAGAATGCGGTCATACACAGGAACTAGAATTTGAATCTATTGAGGAACAAAGATAGGACCAGAACAGACAACTCTGGAGTAAATAGACAAGACGACCAGACTAGAGTTAACAAGGCAGAGAGACAGGTGGTAGAAAGCAAGAGGGGTCTCCTCTTTTCTTTCTCTTTCTCCTCTTGCTCATTATACATTGAGGAATCTTTCAGTTAGGTAGTCTGTGAAGGCAGGTTATTACTTTCTTTCATGATCCCGACTCTTTAATGATTTTATTTCTATCATAATGTTTTTCTTTTAAAGTCATAGAAGCCTGTTTTAATGTAATTTTTTAAAGCACTAACAAGATACGTATTTGATACTAACGGTTCATGAATGGTAGTTGGTTTTTTTTTTTACCATCAAACTGTTTTTTCTCTATCTCTGATCTTTCAAGTGAAAAGTAAGCATATTTTGCTCATGAAAATTTAATATATCGGATCCTAGTCTTTTGAGATTTCTTCTATTGTCGCTAAATAACTTTGCATTACAAAAGTTAATTCAAAAATATTTTACATTAGTGGAAAAGAATCAAAGTAAGAATTTATTTTGCTGAACAACAATGGTTAAAGTGCTAACAATGTACTGATATAAACATTGGAACTAGTTCCTAAGGCATTAAAGAGATATGAGAAATTTCTGCTTTTAGAATTTGAGTTAAAATACAAAAACACTATTGCTTTCTTAATAAACAACAATAAAAAATAATTAGTTATTAGAACTTCACACATAATCTTAGTTATTCATATGTGCTTTACAGGGTATCTTTGATAAAAGTTGAGTTAATTTACATGTATCCATATGGTGCCAGCAAGCAGTTCATACTATTTTACCTGAATGTGGTAATTGCTATGTCAGACAATCAATTTTAATAACAATGATATTGCAGTGTGAAGAGTTCATCTAGAGCTTAAAACCATCACCAGTACTGCCTTTGTGAAGGATAATTGAGATTTTGTGTGAAACACTGGATGAATTACCTCTTGAAAATGAAAAGAATAATGAAGATAAAGCACTACTGTTTAATGGTAGCCCATACCAACCAAATTTGTGGAAATGAAATTGAATAGAAGTTTCAAGTTGTAAAACTGTTCGGAGAGCTTTGAGTGAACCTGAAAGTTGAACTGTGTGTCCTCATAAAGATGAAAAGGTCTTTACTTATTTTTGAAAGTTTAATATTCTCAGTCTTTTCCCCAATTAAATATTGGATTATTAAAAGTAGATGTTAATCACTAATTATGTAGTAAATATGTATACAATAGTATACTAGTGGAAATAAATGAGGATTTTTGGTCTTTTCTAGTCACTAGTAGGAGCAACTTGCCACAAAACAGATTTTGCATAGTAGATAAATGTATTATAACATTTTTTTATTTCAGGGATTCATCAGAAGTAGTCACACATTCAGCTGATGCATTTGCACCTGTGGCTTACCTACGCTTTTTAGAATTGCACTTGGAGGACAAGGCAAGTAAATCTAAGATTCACAGTGATTTAAAGAGAAAATTGAGATATGTGCATTGTTTCTATAGATGTAATTCTATAACAACAAATGAAAGGGTAAAAAAAGTGATTTTTTTCAAATCCTCAGTCAGTAACTAAGAATTCTGCAGATGTTTATAGTTTTAAGAGCTCTATATTATATAAAAGATATTACATTGCTGAAGAGTTTGCAGTTCATTTGAAAAGGGAATCATATATACATTAATCAAGGAGAAGACAGGACGGTGTATAACCAAATATTAAATCATCTAGAAAATTAAGAATTAGGTTATTGAGCATCAGCCTTAGGGGAAAGGTTTGAGGATAAATTGGATCTTCATTATACAAAGTTTAAGAGGAGAAGAAAAGGACAAATTAAAGCTTTTCCAAAAATATACAGGGGAACAGTCGTACAAATGAAAGATGGAAAATGAAGCAGAAAGTGTGATAGTTTTATTTTAAATACATTGATTGTCAAAACACAGCAGAAGTCAATTTTAAAATGTTTTGTGGAATAGTTAAGGTCTAGATTAGACCCTGTGATTAAAAGCTCTGCTTCTTGAGGCATAAATGATTGGAAGAAGTCTGCATCTTTCGTGTTCTGTCATCAAGTGTCTTGAGGCACACCCACAGTCATATATATGATAGAGAATCTGAAGAACCAAGAGAATCAATAATTGGCAAAGGAAGGAGAAAAATGGGAACCCCAGTAATCTCTCAATCAGCAAGAGTTTCCAAAAGTAGAGAATAATATTTGGTGCCATTTCTCTAGAAAAACTAGAAAAGACAAGGTTGAAAAGAGATGATTGAATTGGGCTGAAAGATGACTATTGGTGACCTTTTACCAAAAAACTGGTAAACCTCAAGAGAATGAAGCTAAACTATCCAGACATCTTTCAGACCCACTGAAAGGAGCCTCTTCTAGGTCTCTGCTACTTTTGCTGCCATGGGCACGCACAAAAAAATCAAAACCACCAAATTCTGGTTTAAATACATTAGCCATTGTATGTTCACCTCTACCTAAATAGCTCAGTATTCACACTATTTTGGTATTGCTTTGGGCTTCTCTGTCCATTTGCCCTCTTGCTGAAAAGAATATTACTTCTTTAAGGTGCAGTACTCACTGACACTGAATAAATATGGTGCATTTCCTTTTTTTTTTTTCCTTAGGTGTCCCCAGTACCTGACAACTGCAGAACATCTAATTATATACATAACTCTTGAAAAGCATTTTTGTTACTAAGCTGGTATTTTTATATTTTAAAAATCACGTAGCATTTTCTCAATTATTATGTCCCACGTTTTTCATTACATTTTTTTATTCTTAGAAATATTTATCTTTATCAGAAGTTGGTAGAACCATTGATTAATTGGTTAACACATCCAATCCATGATCTCTGTGATTGGTACCTTCTTTTTTCCCCTTTTACTTTATCTGAAATCCTCATTTCTGTAACATTTCTTCACTTTCATCACACTGGTTTATTTTCCTCTTTCTTGTTCCTGCTTTCAACTCTGCCTATAGTATCCTAATGCAAAGGCATTTGAAAATGAGGATGAAAAGGTAGTCACTGTATTTAGCTAATCAAGTTTATTCTACCGGGCGTCACCATTTTTGTTTTGAATATATTCATTGTTTCAACATTATTGGACAATCAAGAAGAATACCATTAACTCTTACTGGTTGTTTTATAACTGATTAAAAAGTGTAGTTTTTCGGTATTACCTATGCTGACTTCAGACTACTTTTAGAGTTTGCAGCAAAATTGAGCGGAAGGTACAGAGAGTTCCCACACATGCACAGCCCCCCGAGCTGTCAACATCCCACACCACAACAGTACATTTGTTACAATCAAGGAATTTACACGGACACATCAGTTATTACCCAAAGACCATAGTTACATGATGAGTCACTCTTGGTGTTGTACATTCTATGGGTTTGGACAAATGCATAATGACTTGTATCTACCATTATAGTATAATACAGAATAGCTCTGCCTATTCATCCTTCCTTTTCCTCTAACCCCTGGTAACTTCTGATGTGTTTACTCTTGCCATAGTTTTGCCTTTTCCACAACATCATGTAGTTGGAATCATTTAGTATGTTGCCATCTCATATTGGCTTCTTTCACTTACTAATATGCATTTGGATTCCATTGTGTCTTTTCATGGCTTAACAGCTCATTTCTTTTTCTTTTTTTCTTAAGACAATTTTTTAGAGCAGTTTTCGGTTCACAGAAAAATTGGAGGGCAAGTACAGAAATTTCCCATTTACCCCCTGCACCCACATATGCATAGTCTTCCTCATTATCAACATCCCTTCCCAGAGGGGTACATTTGTTACAATTAATGAACCTACATTGCACATCGTAATCACTCAAAGTTCATAGTTTACATTACAGTTCACTCTTGGCTTTGTACATTCTATAGATTACATGTATGCATCATTATGGTATCATACAGAATATTTTCACTGCCCTAAAAATCCTCCATGCTCCACCTTTCATCACTTAACTACCTCCAACCCCTGCAACCACTGATCTTTTTATTATCTCCATAGTTTTGCCTTTTCCAGAACATCATATAGTTAGAATAATATGGTATGTGCCATTTTTAGATTGGCTTCTTTGACTTAGTAATATGTATTTAAGGTTCCTGCATGTCTTTTCATAAGTTTTTAAATGCTTAATAATATTCCATTGTCTGGACATACCATAATGTATTTATCCTTTCACCTACTGAACGACATCTTGGTTGCTTGAAGTTCTGGCAGTTGTGAATAAAGCGTTTGTAAAACATCCATGTGCAAGTTTTTGTGTGGACATAAGTTTTCAACTCTATTGGGTAAATACCAAGGAGCATGATTGCTGGATTATATGGTAAGAGTATATTTAATTTTACAAGAAACCACCAAACTGTCTTCCAAAGTGGCTGTACTATTTTGCATTCCCACCAGCAGTGAATGAGAGTTCCTGTTGCTCCACATCCTTGCCAGCTTTTGTTGTTGTCAGTGTTTTGGACTTTCATCATTCTAATAGGTGTGTAATGGTATCTCATTGCTGTTTTATTTATTTTTTTTAATATTTATTTATTTATTTGGCACTCAGGATCTTTGTTGCCGCCTGCGGGATCTTTTAGTTGCGGTGCGCAGGATCTTGAGTTGTAGCATGTGAGCTCTTAGTTGTGACATGTGGGATCTAGTTCCCTGACCAGGGATCAGACCCAGTCCCCTGTGTTGGGAGTGTGGAGTCTTAACCACTGGACCACCAGGGAAATCCCCTCATTGCTGTTTTAATTTGCATTTCCCTCATGCCGTATGACATGGAACATCTTTTCATGTATTTATTTGCTATCTCTGTATCATATTTGGTGAGATGTCTGTTTAGATCTTTTGCCAATTTTTTATTCAAACTCTGTTTTTTATTATTGAGTTTTTAACAGTTCTCTATATATTTTGGAAATAGTTCTTTATCAGCTATGTCTTTTGCAAATATTTTCTCCGAGTCTATGGCTTGTCTACTCATTCTTTTGCCAGTGTCTTTCACAGAGCAGAAGTTTTTAATTTTAATGAAGCCCAGCTTATTAATTATTTTTTTCCTGGATCTTGCCTTTGGTGTTGTATCTAAAAGTCATCACCAAACCCAAGGTCATCTAGGTTTTCTCCTATTTTATCTTCTAGGATTTTTATGGCTTTGCATTTTACAATTGGGTCTGTTATCCATTTTGACTTAATTTTTGTGAAGGGGTATAAGGTTTGCGTCTGCATTCATTTTTTTAATGTGTGCATATCTAATGGTTCTAGCACCATTTGTTGAAAAGCCTATATTTTCTCCATTATATTGCCTTGCTCCTTTGTCTGTATTTGTGTGGACCTATTTTTGAGCTGTCTATTCTGTTCCATTGATTTGTTTGCCTATTCTCTTGCCAATACCACAAAGTCTTAATTACTGTAGCTTTATAGTATGTCTTCAAGGCAGATAATGTCAGATTCTGACTTTGTTCATCTCCTTCAATACTGTGTTTGACTATTCTAGGTCTTTTACCTTTCCATATAAACATTAGAGTCAGTTTTTTGATATCCACAAAATAACTTGCTAAGATTTTGAATGGGACCACATTGAATCTATAGATCAAGTTGGAAAGAACTGACGTCTTAACAATATTGAATCCTACTATCCAAGATCATAGAATATCTATTTATTTCATTCTTCTTTGATTTCTTTCATCAGAGTTTTATGTATATATGTATATGTATATGTGCTTAGACATCCTTTTTTTTTTTTTTTTTTTTTGCAGTACCTGGGCCTCTCACTGTTGTGGCCTCTCCCATTGTGGAGCACAGGCTCCGGACGCATAGGCCCAGCGGCCATGGCTCACAGGCCCAGCCGCTCCACGGCATGTGGGATCTTCCCAGACCGGGGCACAAACCCACGTCCCCTGCATCGGCAGGCAGACTCTCAACCACTGTGCCACCAGGGAAGCCCTTAGACATCCTTTTTAATGTTCATTGTTCTAACTTAATCTGTTAAATGTTGACTCCTTTAGGACTTTTTTCTTTTTTTTTTTAATATCAGGCTTTGAGATGGCATTCTTAGGGTGAATCAGGAAAGAAATAAGTAAGAGTTCCTTTCCCAGAAATTTTATTACATCTCAATGGATTGGGTAAAGCATTGGCCAAGTCACCAGCTTTACTCCTGAGCCCACGCAGGTAATAGAGAAGGGGATTCTATAGAGGGAAAACAAAGTATAATTAACAAAAGAAAGATGAATAAATGCTAGAGGGCAAAAATGACAGATACTCTTCCACATGTTTTATCAAATTCACATTGTTATCTTAAACTCACATTAACAAATTAATTAACACTCTACCCCAAATAATAGTGAGACCTCAAATGTATACTTTGAATACCACTCTGAAAATCCGACCATATCTGTTCCCTAAACACACACACACACACACACACACACACACACACACACACACACACACACACATATATGCCTCAAGTTCTTTTTATGGCTCCATTTTATTCTTTGTCAGTATTTTCTCTGAGAAAGACTGTGTCTTCTCCCACAAGTTTACTTTTAACCTCTATGCAGATAATTCTCAAGCACATCTCTTCTTTACCATGAACATTCAATTGGTTATCTAATCCTTTATAAGTTAGTTTTAATGTCTTGTACAGCAGCGGCCCTCAACCTTTTTGGCACCAAGGGCCATTTTCGTGGAAGACAATTTTTCCACAGTCGGGGGTGTGGGTGATGGGAAGCAGTGGGGAGAGGCAGATGAAGCTTCACTCACTCGCACACCGCTCATCTCCTACTGTGTGGCCCAGTTCCTAACAGGCCATGGACCGGTGCTGGTCCGTGGCCCAGGGGTTGGGGACCCTTGCTGTACACTATTCCATTTCTGTGCCCATCTCTCTAGTCAAAGTTGTATCTTGCCCAAACTCTTGGACAAGATAGAACTTCTTTAAGTGGACTCCTTGCTTTTATTCTCCCCATATTCTACTTCATTGCCATATTAGATTTTTCTTTCTAGTTTTTGTTTCTATGCACAAAAATCCATAATGGCACTACATGGTTTTCTCAATAAATAAGATGTTTAGCTATGACATGTTGCCATAACATTCTTTTTCAGTCTTTCTCCCAGGACTCCCCCACATGTACCTTTGCTCTTGTAATACAGAACCATTGGAAAAGTCCCTTACCATGCCTTCTGCTTCTCTCCTCCCTTGCCTTTACTTATTCTATCTGTCTTTTTTAACTGTTTACATCCTGTCCATGATGTATGACTGAATTCAAATACTCTTATACACTTAGCCACACCAGATGAACTGCCCTAATACTTTGTTTGTTCTTCTCGTGACCATTAATTTAAGCAGCTTATGTTATAGTTGTTTAAGGACTTATTATTTCTACTAGACTGTAAATTTCTTAAGGACTCTTCTTTTTTCATCTTCACACCCCCTACAACAGCAACTAGTTCTGCAATAAGAATTTTTTAATTTAACTGATTGTTATTTTCATACTTAATATTTTCTTCTTACAGAATTGTATAGACGTGCTTCCATTTCATGTTGCATACCATTTAATGAAAGTCACTTTCTTGTTTATTTTTCTTTTATCCTGTTAGAGAAAAATGCTCCAAGCAAACTGGAACATAAAATACAGCCTTTAGAGAGGTTGTTAGTATAAAATTTATCAGTAAGATTTGCACTTTA